AATAAGTACTACTATTACTATATATATATATATATATATATATATATATAGCTGATTCCTAGATTCTCTTTTGCATAGTACTAGAACTCCATCTCATTTATTTTCCAAAATTTTCAAATTTGTTATTTAATTTTGATTCTTATTAGTTTTTTTAAAAAATACTTCGGATTCAAGATATAAATATTTTATTGTTAATAGATGCTATGAGTATGAAGATTTCTAAGAATAGTCAAAAATTTCAATTGTTTTATCGCCATATAGATTGGTTAAAAATAAACAATTTATAGTTAGAAAATAAAAACAAGATATAATAAATGTCTTTCGTAAAATTTCAAAGTGCATATTTTAAGTACCTATCGATTATTTTTAAAATAATAAATACTCTGGTTAATTTTAGAAATCTGTCATACTTAAGATGTGTGCATAGATACTTTCGAAAAAACTCAAATTGTTAATTACAAATAAATAAAAAATAAAATTATGAGTCAAATTGTTTATGATGTCATAAATTTCTTTAAAAAGGGTATCAAAACAACGAATTTTTTCAATAAAAATTTATGATAAATTTCACACGTTAAAGCTTCATGCAATGCCATTGGCTAGTTTTCCTCGTCCTATTTCTCCCATGGAGCTTGTCGTTATTTAGCTAGTTCCAACTAAGGAGGAAGTTGGACAAAATCCGTGGCCAGTTCCGAATATTTCTAGAAAAGACATGGGCTTTTAAGTCATTCAAGATAAGACAAAATAAATTAGAAAAGGGTGGCCTTGGACTTGGATACTTTCAAGAGATAGAGAATGAAAAGGTCTTCCCACGTGGCACGACTAATTCAAGGCTAGTGGCCGATTTTGTTTTTTTTTTTTTTTTTTTGTGTAAGTGCTACTAGCAGCCGAATTTGAAATGATATATTTTATATCTCATTTTACATAGTAATTGTCGATGCATTTGCTAAAGCAGTATTTTACATAGGGGTGAGGACTTTCGAAGTAATGCACACCTATAAAATTTATTTAGAGATGTCATTTCGGTTCCTCACTTATAAAATTTAAAAGGTGAAATTTTTAAAATACTATGAATAGAGCATATCAAGAAACACTTAATATTTTTTAAAAATAGATGGCTCAAATAATTTATTACAAGATGCATTACTTTTTCGTACTTTTTTTTTTTTTTTTCTTCATGTCCATTCATCTCAAAGTCGAGATGATAAGTTGAAAGGTTCTCCTATACCAAAGCACTTACTATTGTAGGACTTTTGAGGTGTACTTTACTTCAACAGTATAAGATTGCAACCTTATATAATTTTTTTCCTTTTAAAAATGAGCGTCTACTATGGTATTTTGGGAGTACAATTTCTTCTATCCTTGGGTTGGAAGGTCCATGTGTGAGGATTTTTCAATCTGAAATTTGGGAACTATTTAAACATTAGTAGATGACTATCTATAAAAGAAAAAAAAAATATATATATATATATATATATATATATATATATAGAATTCAAGTTTTCTAACACTCTGATCTCACCATCTACAAATTATCTCTAATCAATC